ACAGAATTTTCATAACAGTAAATCACAAATTACGTACCTTGATACATAAAATAAACTAGATTACGTAATTGGATTTAAAATATATTTAGAGCACGTAAGTTTGTAAAAGGCAAAGTGCATCTATAAACATTGTTATACAATCTAATCTACGTTTAGTATTTTCCATCGATTATTAATGTTTAAAGTTACTAGTATCGCTCCGCTTATTAATCAATTAATCAGTGCTAATTAATAATACATTACTCAGCTAATGCATCAAACAATTTCACTTTATCCACGTATTACAGTTTAAACAACATTGATATGTATCAGAACAGATTCAATATTTGGTGATCGAGGGCTGACATCAACATTAATTATTAATGCTTGTTACGATCATGAAATACGTAGTAGTTTTAGCCACGAGATAATTGCACGCACAAGCCGCCAGCTTCAACCGTGAGCATCGATGGCGAAACACTAAAACCAATCATTTGCAAATTCTTTGAAACCTGTCCCTCTGGACAAAAAAGTAAACAAAATTTATAGTTCACATTCAGACCAAATTAATTAAAACCTTAATTTTTTCACGAATTATATTAATCTAATTCCACTTGTCTTTTCTTAATCTTAGTAATGGCTGAATAATAACAAACTTTATTGTTAGAAATTCTTGAAGTGAATCTCTAATAATATATTAGCAGCTACCTTCGCATAAATCTTGATAAATAAATTGTTCTTTAAGCCACATCTTTTGGAGAGTTAAGTTATAGCTCCAAAAATAATTTTATTTATTAAAAAGCTCCTTGGCTCTACGAAAATAACGTAAAGAATTAGTCCACGTTAAAAATTGCTTTCGCATTCCTTTAAATTCCGCGATGCCTCCCTCAGGAACCGCACCTCCACCCCTTTCGAAAACTATGCTAGAACGAGTGTCGAAACACGCGACACGGTTCTTCCAAACTCGAGCGCTGAATATTTGAAAAACCGTTCTGGCCAAAGAGCTGAAAGTTGCCCTCTCGAGGCTGTCGATAAACTGCGACTACCGCAGCGAATGAAAATGGCACGACGATTCCCGACGTTGTTCGACGTGGAAATTAAATAGGACACAATAGAACACATACGTAAACGGTAGACGACACGATCCCCGTCGATCGACCGCTCGCGTTGACAAATAAAGGCGCAATAATCCTACAATTACTTTTTGGAAACTTTTAACTGCTCCGAGCAAGTCGTTTGATGGACGACGGTGCAAAGAAACGGATACAAATATATCGCGGTATGTACAACTATTGGATCGATTTCAGTCTGGTGTTTTGTTTTTTAACTTCTCGAGAAATCTCCTTAAATATTCATTGGCCTTGGAGGATGTGACGGAGACAGATCGATGGGGGTGGTTTTGAATGGGTAATGCGAAAAATGCACGCCCACAATTTCGTTTGGATTTAATGAAGCGTGGGGACGTAGAAATGTGAGCGGCCAACGGATCCAGAATGGTCAAAACGTGGGGCATTTAATCTTCGACAAGACATTTAGACCTCTGACTCATCAATTGATGCAAATTTATATTTTATGTATCACGTGTATCTTATTTTAAGTATTTCTAATATTTTTTTATATTATATGTTTGAGATGTGGGTCACTAAATCTCCAAAATTTTTGAGTCGTGGGTCATTAAATCTCAAGCAAGATATTTAGGCCTCTGACTCATCACTTGATGCATATTCATATTTTATATATCACATATACAGGGTGGTCCACGCAATTGTTACAAGTCATAACTCCGTTATTATTGCATTTCCAAAAAAATGCCAAAGGAAAAAGACATTTTTTGAAAATATCTCGAGATCTAATAATTTTTTGACCATGGTACCCTAATCATTTTTTACGTAGAATGAACAAAAGAATCGATCTGTGTAAAAAAAAATATGCATTTCTATTTAAAGAAATGATGCAATTGTTAATTGCACATGCACTGCTGCATCTAAAAAAAATTTAAAGGCCTACAGATGTAGTGCTCTTCGAACCATTTATCTTTTTCCTTTGGCATTTTTTCGGAAATGCAATAATAACGGTGTTCTGACTTGTAACAATTGCATGGACCACCCTGTATATTACTTTAAATATTTCTCATATTTTTGCATATTAAATGCATTCTGTGTTTCTTACTAGTAAAAAAATTCATTACAGATGATCGTACCATCAATCACGAACGTTAAGGATTTCAAGTAAAAATTAAAATCGCTAAAATAAGAATTGTGAAATTAATTTCGTCGATACACCTCGCGTTCGAAGGAACAAGAGATTTTCCTGTTCTCGGAAGTCTCCACCAGTTCGGCGAGAAATTCAATAATACTTTGTAGAAGCGAAAAGTAAAAGAACGTGTGTTGGATGGAGGCTGAGGGAAGTGGAAGGGCCAGGAGAGACGGTGGAAAGGGACTGACCTTCCATTGATTAGATCACTTAGGAAATTCTACGCGATATCCGGCAGTCGCCTACCCGTAACCTCCGCTCCGCGAACGTTGCAAACTTTTGCTCGCGCCGACTTTCCGCGTGGTTCACATCCACCCACGTACAGGGTGTTCGGTAACGAGCGCAGACAACTTTCGTAACTCGTTGTCAGCGGTGACGTTGAGGAAGGATATCGTGCGTGCGTGCACAGTGTGCAGCGGTGCCAGAAAGTAGCTGTTCCAGTCATAACTGCGATACTTGGGCCGTGTTTTTCCCATAAATTTTTCGTTTAACGTCCGAAGTTATCGTCCACACACGGGTTGCGGTATTTATTGCAATATATTACCCCGAATTTATCGATACGTTGCGACTTGATCACCGTAGAAGAATATGTCTGGAATAGAAAGTTGTGGTGTGTTTTGAAGAACGTTTGAAATGAAATATTGTGAAGCAAAGTGGGCCACCCTGTATATTTGGAGATCCCGGGGAACGTTTCATCAGACTCGCGAGTCTTGCACCGTTCCGCTTTGCGGTATGTGCTGCGCGTGTGATTTTACGGTACCGCGCGCGTCAGCGAGTTGCAAATTCCATTCAGTAGGGCAGTGGGCTTAAGCGGGTACCATTGTACTCGCCTAACTACAGATCAACTTTTATCTCCGCTAAGTAGTAAAAAAGCAACTTTGATTTTTAGGCGACACAGAATCCTCGATGAAGCTCCGACAATTTTTCTAACGCAAGAATTACGCTACAAATGTCACTCGATATTGATATAATTCTGCTAAACGAAATACACCTGCAGTATCTTTATTTTATGCAACATTAAACCAGAGATCAAATGGATAAACTTTCGCAAATGGATGTTATTTGATAACCTTTTAACTTTCACATTGTTTCTCTTCTATTTTTAACTGGCTCTGTATCGTTGAAAAACATCAATTTTATCCGAGCATTTATTAAAATTGTTATTACTGTGAAACTATGTCAACTTAAAATTTATCAAAGCTGCTTCTTTCCATTCCCTGAGAAATAAAAGTCCCCTGTTTACGCGAGAACGAGAAAAGTCTGGTTTTATGAAGATTCTCTGAGACCAGAAAACAGTCGCTGTCGGACCAATTAAAAATTCGAAACTTCGTTCGACTGCTGCGTTTAAGAAATAATATTTTTAAGAAAATAACGCGTCGTCTGACGGTGGTTGCGTGTAACGAATTAAATAAGAGAGCGAAACTGACACAGCGTGGTCTCGTACGCGTTTAATTAAGAGCGTTTCCAAACACAGTCCCCCCTTCAAAGTTAATTCTGCGAATATTCTCCGTTCATGACAGTAATAAAGATGCACCCTCGTGATGTTACTACCCCGTCGGTGTAGCTAGCTTCCCGCGCATGTACGCCATGTATTATATATCATGTATTATATATTACCGTAAAATCCGATGCTACCCAGGCTGCGGTTGACAAGGACTTGGGAATGACGCACGAACATCGATTGTATCATTAATGCTTAATCATGGATAGTGCTCCGTAATCGTGTTACCTTTGTCCTGTACGAATATTAGGTACCCTCGGATCACCCCGTCGTCAAAGTCGTGGATCAAAAGACTCGACTTACATAACCCCATTCAAAGGCTTGTTGTCTCCGAGGAAACTTGAACGTCTGAGCATTGACTTTCGGGATTACTATCCTCTCACGAACGAGGGGTCCGTGGGTGAATTAACGACGCAGAGATTCTTTGTCTCATCAAAGCGTATGATATTGTAATCAAAGGGCCGAAACTTCGTTAGGAACAGTAATTGAACTATACGCCAAGTTTGGACACAAACTGTAACCTGACTAGTTAATGAAATTTCCATACCGGGTATATTAGTAAATACTACGTAGAAATATTCAAAGGCTGGCGCAGACTGAAGAAACTTTTTCGATCAATATTTTTAAAACGCTACATGCTATGTTCTCCCCAAAAGTAACGTTTAATTATAGAAAACTTTATCAATACGTTGAATTTTCCATATTTGAAATGTGAAAATATTTTCTCGAATTCTGATGAGGTTTTGGCAACTTATCGAATGTTCCTATGGCACATCGTGACTGAAGAAAATTGTTCCATCAATATTTTTGAAATGCTATCGTACTGTTCTCTCCGAAAGTAACGTTTAATTATAGAAAACTTTATCGATACGTTGAATTTTCCATATTTGAAATGTGAAAATATTTTCTCGAATTCTGATGAGGTTTTGGTGACTTATCGAATGTTTCTATAGCACAGCGTGACTGAAGAAAGTTGTTCCATCAATATTTTTGAAATGCTATCATACTGTTCTCTCCGAAAGTAACGTTTAATTATAGAAAACTTTATCGATACGTTGAATTTTCCATATTTGAAATGTGAAAATATTTTCTCGAATTCTGATGAGTCGGCGATTTAACGAATGTTCCTATGACGCGAATAGAAGAGGAACCTGTCAAGTTTTTGTCGGGTACAGTCGATAACTCCGCGAGTGCGATTCGAATCCATCGACAACGAAGATTTCTAATCAAACGACCCCGATTGAACAAAGCGTTTTCTCTTTTCCAGTCACCCCTGTCTGTCACCAAGGCCAGATGAAGGCATTCGGGGTGGCGAAGCAGGAAACCGCGAGGATACCCTGCGAGGTCGAAGCGAATCCACCGGACGTAACGTTCACTTGGAAGTTCAATAATACGATGGAGGCTATCGACATACCACAGGCACACATCACCAACGAGCGAACGAGCTCGACGGTCTCTTACAAACCAATGACGGAGATGGACTACGGCACGCTTTTGTGTTGGGGCACCAACGAACAGGGCACGCAGCTCGAACCCTGCGTTTACCACATCGTGCCAGCTGGTAAGTATTGCTAATGGAGCATTAAACATTCATGACTCACGAACGCCTTCGCGGCCATAAAATCGCATTATCGTCGTTCGCTCGTAAACTGGGATTTTTGGACAGTTCGCTTCTCTATAAACCCCCGTGACTCTGATTCCAAAATCTTGTCTACGTTTTTACGTTGGTGTCTGACTTTATCCTATTATCGATATGAATTTTATTTTTAATAATTTTCTTTTCAAATTTCTCCAAAAAGTAAAAGGTAAATTGGAATTTGTTTAATAACGGCTCAGGTTGCTAATATTGATCCTTTGCAAACCTTTTGGCTCTAAAATCATATACTCACTGTCTAAATTATTTACTGACTTGATCCTATTATTGTTCAATATTCGAATATTTTTCTCGTCGCTTTTATTGTTTTCAAATATTTTTTCCAACATTGAATTTATTTAGACCACATACATGTAACGCAAAATATGAAAGAAAATTTCAAAATTAAAGTGACACGTCTTCCATACAAATACGATAAATTTAGTCGCTTAAGAAAGTCGTGAAAAATTAATATTAGACAAAATGAGCAAAAATCTAATGCAAAAGAATTTTTCTTCCGTTGAATGAATTCTTTGTTCGCCTATACTGATTTCAATCGGTCGAGATATATGTAATAAGCGTCAGTAGCGATCCAGCAACTTCAGACAGTAATGATCTAGCAGCTCAAACTGTCCAACTTCTTGCACGTCCCATCAAACTCTGAGCAGTATCATCTGTTGCTGCAAACTCCGTCTTGCATCTAACGTACAAGGTTCTGGATCTAGCTACTGCTCCTGTGTTTACTATTATAACATAATATCCACTTTCCATCTTCTGACAGAATCTAGACCACAAGCTCATGCTTTGGACTGATCGAAAGATTTCTTTTTTAAATGGTGGAACGAATTAAATCAAGTTTCTGATACGATTCTTCTAGTATACGCTTGAATTCTCCAATATTAACACTAAACCTATTGGCACTTCATGTATATCGGTACTCTACCATGACATAAAAACGAATTTTGTTTCAAGTCGATACCGTAGTTGATCCCGGAGAAAACAATTATTTACGAATAAATGCCAGCTAGTAATTACGCCAACATCTTGTATTTAAATTTAAATAAACAATTTATGATGCAGTTCTATCCTACACTAGTCGTACGATCCGTAGGAATTGCTGACACTTCTTTGGATATGTAGAGTCAAAATAAACTTCAAAATAAACATGGAAGACAGCATAAATTATGGTAGGTGATATGCTCATTAGATAGGGGATGAAATGCCCTTTAAAACGAGCGTTCGAACAAGTCGATAGCTTTATTAGTTCCGGAGATATAGCGATTTTAATTTCAAGTCGATGCGGTGGCTAGTTACAGAGATATAAGGGTCCGAAGCGTTTGTTTACATTCTTACTACGGCCTTGTCAAGGTCGTTGACCGCACGTGCTCGTCGAAACTAGGTCACTGGGCCCCTCGGTCACCAGTCACGTGCGAGAAAGAGAGGTGTAGCGCGACGCGTCAGACGGAGACAGAGACAGTCGAATTAAGAAAAATTACCTTTTACATAAATTACGATATCTCGAAAACGGAAAGTCCGATCGACAAAATTCAAAAGCGATTTTAAAGGGGAGGCTTTGCCACTGCTAACGATGGTTCAATTATTAATAAAACTTTAGTAGTTTAGAAACTGCACGCGTCTAAAATTGTAGCATTTTTAATACTCGTTAATACGCTTTCGTAAGACGGAGAGTGGAATTTTAAAAATTATGATATTTAAATTACAATATCTCTAAAACGGAAAGTGGAATCGACATAATTCAAAAACCATGTCAAAGAGGAAGCTTCACCGTTTCTAGCAATGTACAGCTATAAAGAAAACACTAATAGTTTCAGAACTGTACGTGTGTAAAGTTTAACTATTTTTAATGGAAAGATAGTGGAATTTTATACCAAATTTTGTCTAGTCTTTTACAGAATACTACAAAATGTGCATGATAGGCAAAAGTGAATATTAAAAAATTCATTCTACGTATATTATAAGAGTCGTGAAATTAACTATATAGATATAGATAATTAACACTAAAATAACATTGTATGTTACAAATTCTAAACGAAATTTTGAAAACAAACTCGTGCCAAGTTTAATGTTAAATACGTCACTCTTACATCATTCTTGCAATTTTACAGTTTATCGAAAGAATGTTTCAAACGAAAAAATACAAAATAATTATTCATTCACCTTCCAGAAAATCGAACTTAAAAGTTTGTCGAATACGTGCGCGACCTAATGAACTATTTAAATCATACAATTATTATTCTCAAAGATATTCAACGAAATAAGATACTGTGATTACACTTTAAATACGAAGCAAGACGCCGCTGGAAACAGTCTCGCGAGAAAAATGTCTCGTTGCCCGAAATTGGATATATCGCAAGACGGTTGGATTAAAAACAGTAGACGGCGACGTTCAATCGACATTAAAAAATTCATTTTTAACGAGCACCGGCATTCCCGAGCGCACGGGCTTTGCTTTCAGACGATCCTTTAATCCAAGAAAAATTCGCGTCGCTTAAAGCGTTGAAATAATACGCACTGAAATTGTGTCCGCGAGACACCGTGGACGAGAGTGGGAAAGAGGGAGGACGTACTTTATGGAAAAACTTGGCTTTTAATTATGTAACAGACCGTCCAACGGAGGAAATTAAGATTTTCGTAAATATAAATCGTCGAGATTTATGGCGGAAAGACGCGCGTAGAGTAATCCAGAGTGAACCTGACTCTCAGGGGGGATGCTTGATAGACGTAAATTAGATTTAAAAAGTTTCCTCATTATGCAGATTAGAAACAACGACAACCGTCTTTGGACGACCGTGTTCCTTTTTGTCGCCGTGCTCTCCGACCTCTTAACGAGACGTAACTGAAACCGGGGCTCGTTCCGACCGATATAACGAAATCAAAGACAGAATTTTTCCCGGTCGAATGACCGACGCGAATAAATAGAACTCCGTAAGCGCGGTAGTTGCTGCCATTGTGTTTGCCTTCGATCTCCCCTTTGAAGGTAGCTTCTTCGATAACCTGCCCTTTTTTTTGCAGCCAGAATGCTCTCTGATCATGAGCTGAAAGTCTCAAACGGATTGATAGCGATATTGGAGTCAAACGATACCGGTACATTAGCGTCGTTGCTTATGAAATATTTATATTTTTCTATCCAGTATGGTATAAGTAACCAGTCGCTCGAATCTCAAGCAATCGGGCTCGAATATCTAGAAGCAAGTTGACTCTAATGGATTACGAACAGAATGAGTGTTTGGACTTTCAAACAATGTTATTGTCAAACAACTTAGGATGCGTATTTCTTTCAAATATTAATGAAGACCCTTCAAATTACTTGATAGCACAGAATGTACCGGATTTATTTAAATTTAAGGAATTTGCAACTTTACCATCTCACTGCCTCACTAGACAATAGAAGATTAGATTCAGATTTTCAAGAACATTTTCTGTTAACTCGTTTTATGTTTATATATTGCGTTTGCAAATAAGTGCTATTTTCTTTTCTATTTGCTAAATAATCGACTTCGCGAACTTTGTGGGAGCCAACAACGTGGATGAAATAGATTCAGAAGAAATTAGGTATACTCGAAATCAAAACAGTGATGGAGGTACGTTGTATCTAGTTCGAGCTGGAAATGCACGAAAATCCGAACGAACCATGGGTAGGCGGGAGCAACCGTGTCTCAAAAAGCGACGGGACGCGTCAATACGTGACAAACGCGCTTTAGCACCGCGGAGGATACTAAAGCGTCGGAATAGCGTAATAAAAACCGCTATTAAGCTGAGCGTTGCATAAAACCAGGGCATTTCGATTTGAGTGCCTCGGTTGGCTGAATAGGAACGGAAACCTAACTAAGCTCGTACCGGTTGATTAAAGACGACGAAACGCCATCGTTCGTGGGGATGAGAACTTGCGCTTTGCGCCGCGCCTCTCTGTATTCCATTTTCGTGCGGGGGGGAGGCAGACGTTCGTCGCGGTAGTTTCCCCGGGGTCTTCGAGTCTACGAGCTTCGTTCTGCGTCTACGTTGCAATCGCAGGTCAGCCGAGAGTCCGTGGCGGCGTGGATACGACGGAACGACACTTTGGTCTCGTTTATTTCAGGGGCAGGACACCGCGTTTACGGGCGTCTTTAACTGCGAATTGTTAAACTTTACGACCGCCTCTTTTGGTCGAAAGAACGACCTCAACGACACGGGAGGAACAAAATTCTGAAGGGTGGAAAGGTATCGATTGCACGCTGTCGTAACGGCCACCCTTCTAAACAGAATCCCAAGAGCGATGACCTACGCGGCGGAACACTCGGGACCGATTGCGTGTGTAAACGCACGGAATGAGAATTGATCTTTGGGATCAGGCAACAAGGTAGCTGACGGTATCTATATGCAAGCCGATAGAGTCGACCACGTTCCTGATGATCCCCGATAACTGTCATTGTACTTGCAGAAAATCTGAAATACTTTGTAAGGTGCAGCCCTAACCCAACCCAACCCTAACTTTTTAAAAGAATTAAACAAGAAGAACTCCCACAATTTTCAATATTTCCCGCTGAAAAAAATCCTGTACATGCTCATAAGATGACTAAACGCATCTACAAAATTACAAAAAATTTGCCTTTCCAGGTCACCCGGACACGCCTCACAATTGCTCCCTTCTGAACCAAACGACGGACTCTCTGCACGTGGAGTGCACGGAGGGTTTCGACGGCGGTCTGCCGCAGCAATTCACGATAGAGGTGTACAGGGAGCCGGGGACCAGCAGCACATCCTCGAAACCTAGCTTGACAGTGTACAACCAGACGAGCAAAGTTCCGTCGTTCTCGGTGAACAGGCTCGAGCCTGGCACCACGTACGACGTCTACATATTCGCGAGGAACAGCAAAGGGCGCAGCGAGAAGGTCCACTTCCGTGCCACCACCTTGAATCTGCGCGAAAAACAAACAGGTGAGTTCGCCGCTCTGAACGAACAACGGGTACCTGAGGTGCAACCCTCGGATAGATCGGACGATGCCTGATGCTCGTCGACGCGGAACCGACGATGCACTCTCTTGCGATTTCCTTTGAGCACTGTCTGCTACGCTGCACGGCCTTGCATCGTAGAAGCTCACGCGATTATCTATATTTCTTCTTAGTACACCTCTCTCTCTGCCCCGTCTGTCCGTAACCCATGCAGGGTCCGCGTCCCTTATCCCTTATTCCTGCGTTCTTTGTCTCTGTCTTTTCATCGATCGTCTCTCGCGCGCACGCCACCCTACCCGGGGACCCGTTTCCCTCCCTTTATTTACGATCCACGATGCGAGAACGAGCGAACGCTGCAATACTCGCGTCGATGATTTTCCCGCGGACGGACTTTATCGTTCGGCGAAGGGATCCTCGAGACCCGAGAATTGTATTAAACGATGCCGGGCGCTCGGATTCTTGATGGCGAATAATCCTTTTTGGGGTCGCAGAGGCTCTGTGTTTTGGCGTGCTTGCGATATTGGGGCGTCACGGTGACAGGGATATGCGAACACGTTTTTTCAACGACGATTGCAGTAACCTTGGAACAAGAGTGTCTTGGCTAAATGGGACAAATGTTTGCCTTGCTTATCGTTGGACGAACGAACTTAATTTACTTCGTGCAATTCTTTTTCGAAGCTAGTCTTTTCACGAGATTTCGAGAGGCTCTAACGACTTTAATAATCGTTTCGTTTAGTCCTTGCGAACTCCCAAGTAGAAATAACGAGTCGTGGTCAGACACAAGTACACAATGATTTTGCAACGTTTTCTTATGTAAAAGGTTACAAGACAGCCTGCATATACTTCTTTCGTGCATTATTTTTATTTGTTAACAAAATTTCTATGTCTTTTCTCGTAGAATTATACAGAGCATTCGGTCATCCCTGGGAAAAATTTTAATTGGAGATTCTACAGGCCAAAATAAGACGACAATCAAGAATATCAATTTCTGAAATTGAAATTGAAATTAATATTCTTAATTGACGCTTCGTTAAAGAGTTATTAAAAAATGAAATTCAAAAATTTAAAATCATTCTGAAAAAATTATTTTTGATTGCAGGGGTCAATTACAATCATTTTTGGTGAATAGACATACTCTCGAAATCCTACGCATTTTCGAGAAAAAAATTCAGTAAATAGACAAATTTTTCGATTAAATAAAAAATATCAAATCATTCTAAAAAAATTATTTTTACTTGCAGGGGTCAATTACAATCATTTGGTGTCATTAGAAATAACCCTGAAATCCTGCTCAGTTTTGAGAAAAAAAATTCTTTATCGAAAATACAATGTCTGACCATGAATGATGATTCCACTAAAAATCGGCAAAATTGAAAGATTTCAAATCGTTCTAAAAAAATTATTTTTAATTGCAGGAGTCAATTACAATCATTTTTGGTGAATAGACATACTCTCAAAATCCTACGCATTTTCGAGAAAAAAATTCAGTAAATGGACAAATTTTTCGATTAAATAAAATAAACAAATTTTTCAAATCATTCTAAAAAAATTATTTTTAGTTCCAGGGGTCAATTACAATCACTTTTGGTCATTACACATAACCCCGAAATCCTACTCAGTTTTGAGACATAAAATTCTTTATCGAAAGTACAATGTCTGACTATGAAATGTTTCAATTTTGAAATGTTTGATCGTTGGATGAAAAAAATTCGTTCGTAAATTGTTTTGAGTTGATTGACCATCAATATTGTAACGAGGTACACCACATCTTTTCTCGTAGAATGATATTACGAAAGATGCAAACGTTCGATCGCTGGATAAAAAAAATTCGTTCGTAAATTGTTTTGAGCTGACTATCGATATTGTGACGAAGTAAACCGATAAAATCCGTAGGTTCTTCTAGAAATTTCCCCAAAAGGGTCACGGTTTGCACGCAGGACCCTCAGAAAAACCGATCGGTCGACACCCAGCGTCATGTTGCAGCGTTTACTCGGGTCTCGTATCGTAGACGCGCGATTAAGTGCTTGACACTGGTCGTTCGGTCCCTCTCGATCACCATCTCTCTCCTCTCGAGTTAAATCGACGGATGTCTCGTGCCCGTCGAACTCGATTACCGTTCTCTGTGTTCCGCGACCCGTGTCCCGTCGTTAGCCGTAGCTGCACCGTAGCGACGAACGAAAAATGTATCGACGCGACCGTAATACGTACAATCCGCTACGTACGCTGGCCAGACGGATTGCCCCTGAATGGAACTCACATTCGGCGATCAGAATCTTTGGGAACGATACATCAAACGCAATGGCTTGTGGTCGAGCAACAAAACGTTCTAGAGTCGTCTCGATCTTGCGGAAGCAAATCTATACCGTAGAAAGTGAACCGTCCAACTTTATCGCCTCGAATCGCTCGTAATTCAACTAGCGTGCATAAAATATTTCCATCGTGCATCGCTTTTACACGGAGGTCCTCCATTTTTTTTTTTAGCGCCGAATTTCTCACATCGTTCGAAAATCAAGTTCTGAGCAAAACAGCCGGTAGATAACATTTAGTGAGATACTGATGGACGAAGGTTGAAAATTTGTAGGCAAGGCATTTTCATCAGAAAATGAACGATGAGAATAGAAGTGAATATTAAACGATTCGTTCTACGTGTATTATAAGAAAAATCGTGAAGTTAAAAGGCGCTAAAATTGTATGTTAGAAATTAAATTTTGAAAACAAACTCGTGGTAAGTTTAGTGTTAAATGCATCACTGTAGATTATAATTAGTTCTTGCAATTTTGTAGTTTTTCGAAAGAATGTTTCGAACAAGAAAATATAAAATAATTATTCCTTCGTCGTTGAAGTTTGAAGAATTTATTATTGTTGGTAGAAACTTTGCTTTCAATGATAGGAGAAAATGTTTTCGAGCACTTGTTACAAACAATAGTAAAGTCTTGAGAACATTCTAATATTTCTCGATAGAGAAATTGAATAAAAATTAATTCAAATCGATTAAAATGAGGAAATGAATTTGTTTTGGTGTGTTAGAAACTGTTTGAGATATTGTTGAAAAATCGAATTAATTGCCAAGAGTATTCATCGGGAAATTTTTTTCCGAGTAGCTTTTTAATAATTCTAAATGTATCCACCAATCTATGACAGTGGTTATAAAAACTAAGCTTCAGCCACAGCTGCAGCCATTGATCCCCGAGCCATCACCGATCCATCTCCATGTTTTACGGTCAGAGTCATATTTTTTTAATCCCGAATGCTCTGCCACTTTACCTTTCTCGGCAGAATCAAGAACTATTAAATTTGCATTCGTCGGTGAATAAAACTCCTCCGTAAAATTTTTAATCCATTTGATGCCTTTTGCAAATTCAATTCGCCTTTCACCACCGCTGAGTAAGGAATACGATTCATTGTATCCGAATTCTCGTAAAATTCTTTCGATATTTCGAAACCTACTCTTTTCCCTAAATCTTTTTTTATTTATTTCGCTCTGCCTACAGAAATAATTTATCACCGTGGTATTCACGGTCGATTAATTACACCCGCGAAACGTTAGAACTATTAAAAATACGAATAAATCTTTTTCGTCCTCGTTAATTTCGAAAATCGCGTGAGCGCGGAGTATAAATTTGCGTGTGCAAGACTGATGACTCCAGAACACGTTGAATTAGCACACTAATATTAAGCTTGATGGTATTATATTTAAATGAAGGATCTAGAACGTTCGTGGAAGGTTGTTTGTATAATGGTCGAAATTTTGATCGTTGCTGCTATAAAAAACGAATCTCATAGGCGTGAGAACAGTTTTCCCTCGAATCGTGAACATCACTTAGGGGCAATCTTCATTGCTCCGTGCAGTAGACGCGAATTTTATCCAACAGTTCATAACGCGAGTCCGATAATTGCGCTCCTCGAGCGGCTACAAAAAGGTCCTGGGAATCGAATTTTTCCTTTTAGAAACGGGGTGGTGGGGCAGTGGGTGTGAGGGGGAGGGTTTCTAGTTAATGCCGGCGAAGTAGAAATTAATCATCATAATTGGCGATGTGATTTATTGCGGTGATTAATCGACGGTGATGGATTTAATTAATGGCGGCCGATTACGATAATTAATTTCACGCCCATCGCGTACGGATTTAATCAGGCTGAACCGGTTTCGGTCGAAGTCTTCGGAATACCGACGAACGCCGTCGAAATCGACGCTTCCGACAAGCGGAAACGCGCTTGGCGCGGATCGACTGTAATCGTAACCGTTTCCCTGGGAGCTACGAGAAGATAGAACGACGCGCGGTTTCGAATTGTTCGTGCTCGAATCGACGAAGTTTCTCGCTCCGTTAACGAGAGAATCTTCTCGAGTGGGCGTCATCGGTTCGAATGAAATTACAGACCGGCGGCGCGTCGAGAAAGCGAAAGAGTCTTATCGAGAATGTCTTCGCCAGCTTTGTCCACCTCGAATACGCTCTGCAACAAAGTTAACTCACTCCTTCTAGTCGCGTGAAAGACAATTGTCAACCGTTTGTTCTATTTTTTAACTCCCCAAAGTTTCGTCAAGTTTAGTACAGCCTGCGGAACAGCGATTTTTAAATCTTGACTGATGAAAATATAGGGTGCGGCGGAATTCGTGGCACAGCTGAAAAGGGGGTGATTCTTTATCGAAAAATGTACAAATAATTTGGAATACTCCTTTCTTGTTAAGAGAAGAATGATAGTTATTCTTTGTATATTTGAACGTACCTTGTTCGGCTAAGCCTGAGAAAAATTTTAATGGGAGATTCTAGAGACCAAAATAAGACGAAAATCAAGAATACTAATTTGTTGATGGAGGCTTCATTAAAAAGTTATTAACGTTTAAAGTTCCGACCGTACTGAATTTTTTTCTAGAAAATGGGTAGGATTTCGGAGGTAGGTATATTCATCAAAAATTATTGTAATTGACCCCGCCAACCGAAAATAATTTTTCCAGAACGATATGAAATTTTTTTTTTCGTCGACAAATTTCAGGGAAACATGTCAATGTATGGTCAGACATTACATTTTCGGTAAAGAATTTTTTTTCTCGAAAGTGCGTAGGATTTCTTGGTTATGTCTATTTACCAAAATTGATTGCAATTGACCCCTGCAACCAAAAATAATTTTTCCAAAACGATTTGAAACTTTTCAATTTTGTCGAATTTCAGGGGAATCGATCAATGTATGGTCAGACATTGTATTTTCGGTAAAGAATTTTTTTCCTCGTAAGTGCGTAGGATTTCGGGGGTATGTCTATTCACCAAAAATGATTGCAATAGACCCCCGCAACTGAAAATAATTTCGCAGAACGATTTGAAATTTTTTAATGTAAATTTTTAATAACTTTTTAACGAAGCCTCAATCAAGAAATTGATATTCTTGATTTTCGTCTTATTTTGGCCTCTAGAATCTCCCATTAAAATATTTCCCAGGGGTGGCCGAACGCTCTGTATAATATATCGAATCTGGTCTCTTAACGAACTAAAGGATATAACGTTTTTGGCTAATCTCTTTTTAACCCTCGTCCATAGACCGATTCTAATTCATTGTTTTGTTTCTTATCGCGTGTAAAATCAATCGTTTCAAACCTGAACCAAAAAATGACAATTTTGAACATTGTCCTCTATGATTGATACATAACCACAAAAAAAACATATAAAATTATTGCTACAAGAGGGTAATAGTCGACCACCCATTTGTCGATGTCATATCCACACGCGTGTCCAATAATAGTCAAGTTTGGTTTTATTTTTGTCCAATAATATACGAACGAAATATTTAATAATGGTCGAGTAGCAAACGCGTAACTAGCCCCTTGAGTGAGAGGCTGTTACGCGTATCCACTCGAATTTTATATTTCTGATAAACATTTTTCTCTCTAACATGTACTTAAAACAATTATTTTCTTAAATTGCGCTCGTATCATTTCTCGATTCTACTAGATACACAACCTTCCACAAATTTTCTAAACAAATTCCTGAATAACTTCTTCGAAAATAGTTAGTCTTTTACACTCTTCATATAGTGGAATAATCACATTAGGTTAGTACACATACATTTATAAAAGTACTAAAGAGAGCTAAAAAGAGGTCATCAGCCTAGAATGTTATATTCTTTCGACTGATCGAAAACTAAATTTGATTAGTATGTAATACATACTTTACAAATTGTTTGGAAAATAAGGAATTTTGAAATCCTATAAAAATAATTAATGCCTCAATTTTCAAATGTTTAATTGTTTGTCTAGTAGATCATCATACAAAAATGATAAAATTTCAAAATTCGGTATTCTCCAAACGATCTAGAGCTTTAAATTACATTACGAAGTGCGTGTTTGCTATTCCAAAAAATAAAACAAAATTAAAAATATATATTTTTATCATTTCGAGGAACAAATCATTGTACTATGATTTCGTTATGTGTGTTTAAGCTTGGAGATTTCACGATCAACTTAATCTTCGTAAATAGAATGCCTGTAACAGTCATTCCAGTTTAACAAAATTAAATTCTTTAAATTTTCATCTCTGAAGTTCCTTGAAGTCATAAAGTAATATATCATTGCTCGGTTGTTTCGAATAGCTGAGATATTTCAGATGAACAAAGCTGATGACCCTCCACGTCTACGTATTATATCATCCATCGACGGTGATCGAGGATTTAGAGAGCGGTATTACCATCGATAAATCCCGGCCAAATAACTGCGCCTTTTATCTCGAAAGAAATTGGTTCGCCGGTGGGGGTCGTATTATTTGAAAGTTCTTACATAATAGCATCGAAAGCCATCGTTGCAACGGAGACGTTGAAAATCGGATTCTACAACTTTCCGTTCGAATTCCGACCGGTAAAGGGATTGCGTTACAATTAGGAGCAGTACAAGGTTACGATTCGGCTTTGAACGCGGCAATTCTAATGTTCATCCCTGTTCCCTTGTATTTGTTCAAAGAACTCCGTCGCAATTAGAGCAGCGAACAATTAAACCGAGTCCCTTGTAAACAGTACCTCCGGAGGCAGTTCGCATTGATCAAGATGTCGCTTGTCGAATTAAATTAAAGATCAAAAAAGGGATCTTCGGGGTCTGGAAACGATGGTCGGATCGAGTGTCGAGATAAGATCACGATCGAGCGAATGTTGAACAGTCGCGTACCCTTTCTTCGGGGCTAAGAATAATTCTTGCATCGAAATACAGTGATTCCTGCTTTCGAGAAACAAAATCAGGTCTACCATTTCGCTTGTAACTAGTTTTAATGGATCTATTTAATTAAAAATAAATGATTATTTTAAACGTAGTAAAAGTGATCCCAAACAGGGTTGTTACAAAGTTTTTTTTAGAAAAGAAGGCTATTCCATGTAACAAATTTTATGTAACTTTTGCTTGATAGTTACATACTCTTTATTTACAAAATCAGGTTTGCCATTTCGCTCATAAATACTTTTAATGAACCATTTAATTTAAAAGAAAATGATTATTTTAAACGTAGTAAGAGTGATCCCAAACAGGGTTGTTACAAGGCTACTGCATGTAAAAAATTTGATGTAATTTTTGTGTAATAGTTACATACTTTCTATAAATGAATCGTATCGTTTCGCTTGTTTTCATGAACATTATTCTTGCCTTTACACACATGTTGCGATGTGACAGTGAAACGAGTAATGTTGATAGGAATAAAAATGGCCTTTAAAATATTTGTTGCTGTGCCAACAATAACAAAGTGCAAATTGGTCCATGAATCAAAGTGGGTTTGACATGTCTGTTAAAAATAAATCTCTCTTGGCTGCGGTCGTCGTACGCGCGTGTTGGTGAATTGCTCGTGCTGAGCAAGCATAAAGAGTGGAGCAGAAAAGGGAAAAGCTTGAATCCGAGGTAGAAATTGGGTCTTAAAAGTGGGAATAACTGTATTTGCATATTTCTCGATTCTCATCATTAACACGTTGACTGTCGCGACGACAGAGTCGAGCAAATTTTTATCCGAATAATACAAAATAAATAAAAATAAAATTTGACATTTACAAAGAGACATACATGAACGATTAATTTAATCACAAAATGTTTCGATTAACTCATTGTACGAAAAAAAGAAAACTATACTTTTGATGGTCTATCGAAATTTGTTATACATAAATAAAGTACTTGTTCTATTTAACCCTTTGCCATACAATGACGAGTCTGACAAGTTTCATAATCATGAGACTACTCACTCGTCGTCAAGTCTTACCTATTAAAATCAACATATTTTTATACAAATGTATTCTTTTTCATGGCCATTCTTGGTACAAATTTAAACAAAATTAAATAGTGCAAGTTTGAAAAATTATTTGAGATTAAATCGTACGCCAAGGGGTTAAAGAATATAAGTTGACCTTCGTATCTGAAAAATTTAATAATACCACGTTCTGTTTGAAATATTTTTGGCCATAAGAGATAATTACAATTAAATTTTATTCCAATGTTATAAGTATTTCTATAATACGAGTGATACAACAGTCAACGCGTTATATCGTAACGAATAAAAGTTAAATTACCAGGGACGTAGCGAGTTCTGATGCAGTGGTAAGGGTGCAAAGATGGAATCGAATCTCGTTGTACGTAGACGGAAATAAAGGGTCGCGTCGAAGTGGCCCGGTTTTTCCAAGGGGTCAGGAAGCGGCTTCCGGAGAAAGGAATTCCCCTTCTAGGCTGCCAAAATAATTTCGTCCCGGCGAGCCTGCCAGATTGCTAGCTCATTCTTCCTGCTAATTGCTAACAATTAACTCGGGAACGCGGGACCGGCTTTCCCGTAAACGGCCTGTGTACAGTACGCGTTAATAATGCGTGGCTAATTGGGATGCGGGGGCTGGCCGTTCTCCTCATCGTTGACTCTGCCTATTCTGCCCGTTGGCTAACTGGGAATCGGTGTACTTCATCCGACTGTTGGCTCGCACTCTAATTATCCGTCTCTCTTTTATTACCGGTTAAAAAACCCGGTTGCAAAAGGGAATTCCGTCGCGTCGAAAGGAAGTCGAAAGGATTTTTCAGACGGACTACATTTTATCCAAAATTTCTCACAAGAAATTGCAACATACATTCGCCCATGTGTATTGCAAATTCGACCAAAACTGTGTCTAAATACCCGCACCGAGAATCATAAAAAGAGCTCAAATATGTAATTGCTTTTAATAAAAATTTCGATCGCGGGCAGAAGGATGTCTTTCGACAAGGGAATGTTGAATTCAGGATCGCGGTTTTGTCGAACCGTTTAAATTTTTCCGCACGCTCGAATCCAAGGGAAATATTTGAACGTTCCATTTCGCGTTTGTCTGGTTAAAAATAACAAAAAAAAGAATAGGATTAAGCGTCGTTTAAATGATGCGCAGATGCTCGATAAAGGCAACGCGAGATCGTAACCGCGATAATTTTGTTTGTTTTCGGGGCACTGAATAGAGGTGGGCCTCGCGCGCAGTGGTATGTGTCAATAAACGAGCTGGCAAGGTATCAAGTAGTACGAGTCAATGATATTTACCCGGTAGTCGATAAAAAGCGCAAACGGTTTTTTTCGTGCGAATAATTCCCGGTTTTGTATCGGTTGATAATGTTACACAGTGCTATAAACATTATTTCGCGATGCGGTTTAAAGTATTTGCGTTAATATTCTTTTTTAAATACATTTTATATCGTTCCTATCTCGTGTTCTATTATTTAATGTATTTTTCTGTCGCCGAAAGTAGACAAATTACACTTAGGTTACCTTGCATACCTCGCTTTGTATTTTAAACAGATTCAGGAACGAATTTTAAGCAAACGACGAGGTTGAAGAAAATTATTTTACTCGATATAGAATTAACCCTATAGTGGACTCAATCTTAGTTTTTTCTCTTCCACTTACCATGCAACAGATTCTTTAAAATGCCAATTGTTTTATGGTGTAATAAATGTAGAAATATATGAAGATATTAAAAAATTTGAAAACCGAAGTAGGTGAGATTATTTTACAACTAATGTCAAGTACAGAGTATACAATGCTTCTTTATTTTAAACGAATATTACGAATTATTTTTTAATGTTCTTTGCATACATTTTTATTATACTTATGGCAAAATTGGAAGACACGTCTCTTTATTAAACACAAATGACAACTTGAATGTTTTATCTGCTTTTCTGTTGATGGACCAGGAATAAAGGGTAAAACTATGATTCGAGGAAAAAGATTATTTAACTTTGAGAGCAACAAACTCAAAGAAACTTGTCATTTTAAACTCCCAATGTTTTAGAATATAAACCAAACGTTAGTGAATTTATTAATTTTAAAATACGACAAAAATAGCAGTGAAATTTTTAGCCACGCAGCGGCTATCGTTGACCAACATCGCTTGATTCTCGTTCGCCAGTTTATTGGCCCCACTGTCAGACCCGAACTCTCGCGGCGTGAAAAAGAACAGGTAAAAAACGTTCTGTCTAGCGGAGTCTGGATCGTTCGCGCGTGTAAAGCTCCTTCTGTTGAGGCGCGCGAATATTTCGTACGATAAAGCGTTCGTTCAGCGAACTTCCGGCACGGACTTAGTTTCGGTACGAAAGTCAGATACGCTTGTTATGCGATGTATAAATGACGAAATCGAGCGTTTCGATCGGGAAGGCCGGCCACTCGTATCGGGCGGTGCCGTGTCCAACGAATGGCAGATATCGATTGCGCTTTGACATTTATATTAAAACATGTTCGAGCGACTCACGGCGAATGAGAAACGAGGGACTGGCAGGTTTTGGCAGAAATCCATTCCGATCGGCTTGTGAACAAGTTTGCTCGAAAAACTCAAAAATTTATGACGCTGAGATTCGGATCCCTTTTTGCGGAAAACTCCAATCCGTTCTTTCGGTAGTTTCTGTAAATCTTTGTGGACCATTGTTATTTACAACTTGCTCCCCATTTTCTCTGCGTCCCTACGTACTACTTTTCGCGTGGAATTTTTTGCAGAACTTTCTATTTTCTAAAAAGAGGCTGCGTAATTTTTAATGCTCGGTTAACGAAAATAACTTGATCCCTTTTAGTAGCAACGCCACGATTCGTAAGATTCTTTGTTTAAGTGGGAATATACAGGGTGTTCGGTCATTTCTGGAAAAAATTTTGATGGGAGATTCTAGAGGCTAATATAAGACGAACATTAAGAATATCAATTTCTTGATTGAGGCTTCGTTAAAAAGTTATTAAAAATTTGCATTAAAAAATTTCAAATCGTTCTGGGAAAATTATTTTCAGTTGCGGGGGTCTATCGCAATCATTTTTGGTGAATAGACATACCCCCGAAATTCTACGCACTCACGAGGAAAAAATTCTTTACCGAAAATACAATGTCTGACCATACATTGATCGATTCCCCTGAAATTCGACAAAATTGAAAAGTTTCAAATCGTTCTGAAAAAATTATTTTCGATTGCGGGAGCCAATTACAATCACTTTTGGTCATTAGACATACCCTCGATATCCTACCCGCTTTCGAGAAAAAAATTCTAGAAGATCCGAAATTTTTAGACCAAATTAAAAAATTTCAAATCATACTAAAAGAATTATATTTAGTTGTGGGGGTCAATTACAATCATTTTTGGTCATTAGACATACCCTCGATATCCTATCCACTTTCGAGAAAAAAATTCGAAAAGATGCGAAACTTTTAAACCAAATTAAAAAATTTCAAATCATACTAAAAAAATTATATTTAGATGTGGGGGTCAATTACAATCATTTTTGGTGAATACACATACCCCCGAAATCCTACGCACTTTCGAAAAGAAAATTCTTTACCGAAATTAATGTCTGACCAGAACTTATTCTACTGAAATTTCATTCATATCTTTAAAACATCATAACTCCTGAACGGATTAGACGATTTTAATGATACAAAATTCAAGAGCCTCAGAAAAATGGATCGAAAAAATACATTGGATGTAAGTTCTACTCGCTGATTGCCATTCTACATGGAACTTTAAACGTTAATAACTTTTTAACGAAGCCTCAATCAACAAATTAGTATTCCTAATTTTCGTCTTATTTTGGCCTCTAGAATCTCCCATTAAAGTTTTCCCCAGGGGTGGCCGAACACCCTGTATATTTTTGTCGCTACAATAGCAATGATAAAATTACTATAATCATCCTGAATCGTTCGTTGAACTATGTTATATTAAACGAAAAATTGTTTGCCAGATTATTTTCGATACAACTGACGTTGAAAATTTATTAGAGATTCGCTCTAATAAGACTTGTCCCGCGTGTCTGACCACATCTCGTTCTTTCTACTTGCGTCGAGTGCCCGTGAGCATACATATTAACAACGCTTTATTTGTTTCAACTGGTTCTAACTAGTCAGACGTGGCACCGTGTAATATCCGCGTCGAAAAGTAAATTTGAAAAATGTTGCCTAAGCTGTAAAATTTCTGCTTGCCGTGAAAGTTAAACACGCCAGAAACAATGTCCAGGTTCCTTTTTTTGTCGAGCGTGCTTCGTCGAAAGTCAAGAGTTCTCGTAGCAAATTTCTCTCTTTTAACGATCCTCCGAAACATGGTTCGTTTCTCAGCGATTTTTACACGTTCTACAGAAACTGGTAAAGTTCTGCGTTCAATTTAAGAATGTTTAGAAATTTCGTCGGCTTTGATAGAAGCTAGGTTAAAGCAGCTTCGTAAGATTTACATTTAACTCTCGCGTTGTGCAAATCACACTAATGTGCATAGATAACTTTCACACGGTACTACAGTGAACGCAAATGCAACTGGCCGCTGAGGGTCTTCCAGAGATCCACACTCTTCCGGTCAGTGGTTCCCAAACTTTCGGATTTTTCACACGTTTATAAGTAATAAGAATTTACATTAACGATGTCTATGAAATTCCTAATATCTCTTTTTGCGGAGATCACGGTCAATACGATAGATATGTACGTAATCTTTTTACGAATATTTTTAATTTTCATATGATTTTGATTCCGCAAGTTCAGAAATAAATTTTCATCGACAATTGTATCCTTTGCTTGAAATTGATGGGAATTTTACACATACAAACATGCCTTGATGCAACGATCGATTAAAGCCGTTTTCTTTTCTTGTTTCATTAACTAAGTATTGGGTCGAGGATGAGATCAGATTGAAAAGGGTTCAATATTCTTATAATGATTTTCTCTTTTCTGTCCAATGATAAAAAATAAATTATATAGAATAGAATAAATTTATTTGAAAAAATCGCTGAGCAAGTGAAGATGCCGTGAACAGAGAAAGTTTGGGAACCTCTGGGTTAGGTAGTTTGCCGTTCTATGTATCTCGTCCTTATCTCTGTCCCTCAGATATGGAGGCACATAGCCATACCATAAGAGGTAGTTTGTGACGTTATTCGCAGTTGGGAAGTGGCCTTGAGCGGTCAATTCAATTCACGTCCACTGTGGTATCGTCGTTTGCCATTGAAAGGGTTAAAGAAGTACACTTGCATCTCGAAACTATCAAAATCCCAAAGGCGACGCGTGCAGAATACCCCACGACGAGTGTTGGAACCGAATAAAAGGCTATTCTACGTGGATAAAGTAAATTTAAAACGATAAATGTTTTAATGCATAAACAAATAACAACCTATTATAGAACAATGGGTTCTATAAGTTTTTTGCTCGGATTCTTAAATTGCAATTACATTTTTATATTTTGAATCAAATTTTTCCGAATATCAACAAATCGACCATTTGAATAGTATTTGAATAATATTCGAATATCCTATTAACAAATTATAACCTATTAACTCTCGAACACGAAGTCTTGTAGAACCCATTAAAGAAGATTTTTGCTCGGATTCTTACGTTACAATTATATTTTTGTTCAAAAGCAATTATTTTAACGATCTTCCTCAAGAAATACTTTCTTTGCAAGAACATTTTCTCAAAAAATTATAAACACAAAAGAGAAACCCACATAGCTTTCACTGTTGGGTCCCAAATCTAACGAATATCAACTATTTAAACAAGTCGACCGTTCGAACAGTATTCGAATAATATTCGAATATCCGAAACACGCGAATTCGAATTTTATTCGACGAGTCCCCCTAAAGGCCCCACTTTGAACCTCCACGTGACCCCGTAACCTCAAAGAACGCCAAAAAAGATCTATCGCAAAAGACCCCCGTGCAAAAAAAAAAAGTATCCCAATAAAAGCCCACGAAGTAGCTGTAGAAGAAGGCTGAGGCAGGTGTGTTGTGCCGGTGTGGTAACAGGTATAAGCCTGGAGCATCCTCTGCCACCGGAGAATTGTACGATCAGGGAAGAGAGTCGGACAACGGTGAGGGTGAGCTGCGCGGAGAGCAAGTCCGTCAACCAGCCCATGGCCACCTATGTGCTGCAAGTCTTCGACGCGGAGTCCAGGCGTCTTCTAGGGTCGACGATTAGCATGACGCCTAGCATGCTCGAGATCACGAATCTGCCCGCGGAGAGGAGTTACTCCGGGCTGCTGCTCTCCCTCAGGATCATAACGGAGCACGCGACGAGCGACGCCATCGAACTTCACAGCCCGCACTTTGTTCAGGAGGGTAAGACACAGGAGCATCAACGATACCCAGGTAGGGGCCAGCTAGTGTTCGATTTCGAGTCCAGCGTGCGCAAATCGCGATTCGGTACCCCGATTCACCCACGAACAAACCCACCCCTCAAAATCCAACGTCCACGACTCGCGATGAACACGATCCCAGAGACCATTCCCAGAATCGAGCGAGACGTGGCTAACCATTTTCAGTTCCCGGGTTTGTCGCGCGCCATCAATCTTGCGTGTCATCCTATTTAATCTGATACGGGATCGTAATCTCCTATATCGTCGAATTTACACGCAGTTTTTTTCGGGATTACATAACGGTCGAAACACTCTCGACGCGCGCGGTTTGCGTCGAGTCTGATTCGAGGACGTTTCGTATATTGGTGAATGAATGCACGAGTTAGGGAGTTTGAGGAACTTTGAGGCTTGCCGAGAAATTAGAGTCTTTGTTCGGTCAGGGGCAAATCGAAGGAATTAAAATTTTAATTTGGTTCGAACGTTTACCATTCGAGAGTCATCTTCGGCGAGAAAATGTTTGCGATATGAAGAATTGTATGATATGAGAAATTAAGGATAAATTGGAAGCTGATCTGTTGTAAGAATGAGAGTAAAAAAGTGTTGGTGTAAATGGTGGTACAAGACAAAATGGGGAAGGATCGAGTGAAGTTTTTAAAAGTTCTGATTCTAGAAGATAGGAAAAAGTAAACGTGTGTGTAAGGAACATGAATAAAAATATTATAAACCTTGGGGGAACCAATCTTCGATAATTCGCGTTTTTAACAATACGTTTTCTTTTTTTCTTTCGTCAGTATTTGCACCAACATTCTTTATTGCTTGTTCTCAAAGTAGATAGTTTAGTTTTCAATGTATTTTTACTTTTTCCGATTATATTTCGTTAGACTGAACACGACTCGAAATTGAATCAAAACATTCGAAGTAAATTTATATTTATAATTGTGATCGTAATAAACTACGCAGAATGAAATACTTAACAGTTTAGTATCAATATGTTCTTGCAAAGACTATCGATGAATTATGTAGCATTGCTTTGAAACAAATACGCGATTCAATTTTTAGTTATTCCACGTTAAGAAATATTAATATTCGTCGAATTCATAAAATTAGAATTTGTTTTATATACCATCTTGCCCTTGCAACAATATATCTAAATTGTATTATAACGCAGGAAGGAAAGTGATCATTTTTTAAAAAATAAAGTAGTCGTTACAGGGACAAAAGGTTCTACGAATCTAAATCCAAGATCTAATCAATGATCTAAACGTAGAATTCATTTTTGTATCGTATTATACGAACCAATATTACTCCTCTATTTTGGACGAACGTGTTCTACCAAAGGTAGTTTACACAAAGAATATTCGATCCCCTGGATCGATATTATGTAAATCAACGCCCGATCTTGAATCAGCGCACGGTATCAGAGTGTCAAATTATGCTGTCAAACGTGCACCGTTGCCTAATCCGGAATTCACGATGACCGAACATAATCTAGACTTAATCCAGGATCATGTAGAGATCAATTGGCTTCCCACTTTAATCATTAAATCATTGGATCATCCCGGTAAATCCGACTGAAAACCTGATCCAAAATTAACGTTCGCCTCTGCTGGAATTAACCAGACCCGATTCGGAGCATCGTAAACACGGAATCGACATATGTATGTCGTCAAATCGTTGGGCCACATCGTCAAAGCTGACTCGGGATTCTCCGATGTACTGCAATCTAAAACTAATCTGGTACCAACTAGCCAGTTGAATAGAATTCAATTTTACCGCTAAACCATCGGATCATCTTATCGGATGAATCTATCAACATATCCGGAACACACAATCCACGCTCAATCTACCAGCTGATCATCGATTTCAATGTTGGATCATTCTCTGCCTTCGAGGCCGCCCTGTAAGCTGAATTTTATCGAACGAGAAACCTAACTATTCGTTGACGCACCCATTTCTGTTACGTTCTCGCGAATATCTTTCCTTTTTAAATGTTATTAAGCAACGTCAAGTTGGACAGAGAGATCCTTGTTTAGAATACCCACTTAACACATTGCCAATGTCGCGTTTTACGGTTAGAAATATATGTATAAAATTGAAAAATTAGGAGGACCTAGATGAGAGTTAATTTATTTATAGAATCTCGATTAAATATTACTGAATATTTTTCTATCTATTCGTAAGGTTACAGGACCTGGTAATTTGATGTTTCAAAAAAATCCACGATGAATACTATTTTAAAATTTTCAATCCCCATGTTCTACGAATTCTAGAAACTTAACCCTTTGACGTACAGCAACGAGTCTGACTCGTCACAAGATTCTACTGTCAAGTTTCACGATCGTGAGGCATCAAGTCTTGTATATTAAAATCAACACAGTTTCAGATTCATGATGTATAGCTAAAACAAATCTATTCTTTCTCGTGGCCACCCCTTGTACGAACAAATTTAAACAAAATTAAATAGTATAGGTTTGAGAAATTATTTGAAATTAAACTATGCAAATAAATAAAACTATGCTTCTTCGTATAGTTTGCAAAAAGCGTGCAGTTGGCAAAGTGTTAAAAAGGGGTACGCGTAAAATTAAAAACCCCGACCGCCATGGGAATACGTTGAAAGGGTTTTGGCCACAAAAACTTGGAACGTCTCGTGATAGATATGCCCTTTTGTCAGAAATTGTGGACTGAGTCGAAGGGATCAGCAAGACCAGGATTCCCAGCCATCCCTCGGGGGGGCTGAGCGTCGTACCAACCTACGTTGAATCGTACGCAAAAGCATTAATGGAAACGGGGAAGAGAATTATTCGGTAGACTCCGATACATCGTTCGACCGTCTAAAAACATTTACCTCGGTGCTCGAATCGGCTCGTTTCGAGTACGTTTAATTTAATCCTAGAGATTAAACGATCAGCCTCCCCCTCCCTTTCGTTCGACATCGAAACAGCCCGGTGCTGATTAAATTTGTAAAGGGACATTACCTCGGCTCGCGTAACGTGTCGGCGATTATTAAACGTCCGTTGCTGCGTTAACGGGTTAAAGTGAACCATAAACGGGGCCGCAGAACCTGATTACAAAACGTCTTTCAGCTAACCGCCGCGAATATGCAAATGGACGGCCCCTCCGCGAATTCGTGGCCAAAGGTCCCCGCGTATACATCCTGTAAACGGTTTGGTACGTACACAAGAGAGAAGTCTGGAACTCTGGTTCCAAGGGACACCACTAAGACAACCGCTTGTACGTGCAAACCTGCCGGAGGACGTTCAACTGAAATTGGTCTGCGGCTGAACCCGATCTTCCTCGCTGTCGCGAGAGAAGTTCGATAAACGTGCTTCCAGACGCGATGGAATTGTGTACATTGGTGCCAGGCGTGTACGGGCCACGGTTAAATCCTGGCCTTGATTAGTCTTATAAATAAATGAATCCCGTAATTGGAACCCGATTAACCCGCTGGGCGTACGATACTTTAACAAACCGACGCAAAACAAAAGCTTTCCAATGTGAACCGTAGGAACTTTGGAAATAAAACGAAAGCTACGAAAAGTAATCCGGTGCTCGTTGTTTTATTTTTAGAAACGTCCATAACGAATTAACGATATGAAGAAATATAAATTATGATAAAGTAATAGAGAACAATTTAAGATTTTCGTTTTACGAGTATATCGAGTAGATCGTTCAAAATAATGGAATTCTATAAAACGAAAGCTACGAAAAGTAATCCGGGGCTCGTTGTCTTATTTTTAGAAACGTCCATAACGAATTAACGATATGAAGCTATATGAATTAGAATAAAATAACAGAGAACAATTTAAGATTTTCGTTTTATGAGTGTTTCGAGTAGATCGTTCGAAATAATGGAATTCTATAAAACGAAAGCTAAGAAAAGTAATCCGGTGCTCTTGTTTTATTTTTAGGAACGTCCATAACGAATTAACGATATGAAGGAATATGAATTATGAATAATAGAGAACAATTTAAGATTTTTGTTTTATGAGTGTATCAGTATCAAATTAATGGTGGAATTCTAGCAACGATTTTTCAGTACTTTTTCATTAATACCATTCCAACGTTTCTGTAATATTCTCCACGAGTCCTTCTACTTTAAACGCGTTTATCTTCAGAATTTTCTTCCTCTCACAATTTTACTCGCTGCATATTTATTTTAATTTCGTACGAGAGTTGTAAAATGTATAGTAAAGTAGTAACTTGAAAAGACTAAATGTAAGAAAGTAAGATGATAATGTCGCTTCGTAAAACTGTAACCTTAATATGCATTTCCCAAGACAGACCAGAGAATTATGCAATAATATAAACCCAATTTTAAAGAACGATGTTTGAGACCAACAGTTTTTGACGGAATAAATAAGAGACTCGATATAAAAAATAATATATTCCAAGTAAAATCGCATGATAGTAATCGAAACGTCTAACACGTGTATCAAATAATTTAATACGCGCGTAATATCGAAACGCTCAAACGTTATCGAAGTTTACTTTACGATCACCGTTTTAATGGTAAATTAATATTCCCTGAAATTTCAATAAAACCGTTTATCGCGCGAATTATTTGCCCAATTTAAATTCCGGTATACGCGTTACGTTCCCCTGGGCGAAAAATTAAACCGTCGTTAGAGCGCTATGCTCAAGTTGACGCGAGGCAAAAATGTTTCCAAAGAGCGCCGACAGGAATATAAAATCGCTTTCGAATTAACTCTGGCCCCCATCCTGGGGATCGCTGGAAGGGGTTGGAATCCGACGAGAGCCCCGTGCGTTTAATATCAACTTAGATTCACGGGAGCAGAACAAGGGGGGTCGTTTACAGGAGTTCGCGAATTTAAGTGGATTTTGATTAATCTCGAACTTGAGTGCCAGACCGGTTTCTGGACAGTGCATCTAAATCCCAGATTTATTACCGTCCTAACGATAATTCACGATCTCCGCGAACGCATTGTCCGTGGAATCGTCGCGTTTCGTCGTGGAAAAAAGTCGGTGTCTTCGTCGATGGAATCGTTCGATTTA